TCATGGATAGCCAATGTTGTTTTGCTTGAAGTTTGTTTATAAAATTTTGATGAAATTTTTATAAGTGAGGAAAATTGCAACGGTTATGTTTAAAAAAAATGAAAGAGGAAATGAAGAAATAAAGAAGAGAAGTGAGGAGTCGGTTAGCCGAAGAATTGGGAAATGAAGCAGATGGATCGGGAATCCGAATAGGTGAAGTTCACCTATAAAATGCAAGACCAACTTACCTAGGAGTCGAGCGGCGCACGAAGAAGAGGAGGACGACGTCAGGGTCAGGGTTAGAGCAGAGATAACGTGAGAGACAAAGAAGAAAACATTGCAGGAGAAGGAAACGCGCATTCCACCTGGTGCATCGTGTCCCTCCACATCGTGCTTAACAGAGATCTAAAGACAGACGACCCTATGCCCTGATCGAAGGAAGGAGAGAAGAGGTCGATTGATCTGAGCCGTAGCAAGCAGGCGAGGAAAGCGATGATGTCACTGTTGAAGCAAAAACTTCCCTTTGAGCTTTTCGGGTTCATCAAATAAGGAGCTTGGCGCGACTTTGTTATGCACAAAAAAGAAAGAGAAACATCGTGTTAAGATAGACGATTGAGACCTTAGTGTGGTGCTCGCATGCAAACAAAGAAAAGAGACTTTTCCTTGCGGGTGCTAAGCCGAGTCGAGTGCTTGGAAAAGGTAGGGGAAGTTCTTATTAAGTGATATAATAATAATAATAATAATATTATTATTGATTAGATAAAATAAAAATGAGAAAATTTTGTCAGAACATAATAAATATGAATACCGTGTTTATTTTAGACATTCAAATTTAGAAGAGTCGACGTCAAGACAAAACAACGGCATCGATGTGAGTACTTTTACTTCTAAATCATGGTAATAATTTTGTATTTCTTCTAAATCACTCGCTTTAGAATGTCATTAGTCAATATATCTTGTTACTGCAATAAGAACATGATTATTGTCTTATTATACAATTCGACCACCTAGAAATAAATATGAATGATTTGTATAGTTATATTTATTACACATGCATATAAAAAAAAAGATATTGAATAATATTTAAAACGTAAATAAAATGATTTATAGTATGTCTGCATGTGTATGTCCAACTGTGATGGAGTTACCCCTTAATGGTACTAGTGGGGGGTGCTAAGATACTTGTGCACGTATATGGAAAAGGATATTGATATTGATATGTCTTAATTGACATAATTTTTAGACGGTACTCCTGTGATAGTTGTACAAATATAGAAGGTGTGTTATTGAATTAGTATAATTCATAGATAGCATGTTAAATATTTATATGGATTTATTAAAAGGTTTAACTTGCATGCATTTTGCTTCCTTTTCTTTGAAATGTTGTAACTTATGAGTATTGAGTATTCACTAGTTTATCTAGTACGTTATTTTTTAAAACAAAATTTTTATATTAATTAAGTGATTAAAATATGAGTGATAGAAGAGAAAACGTTTATAAAAGATGCACACAACCGTCAACGAGATAAATTGAAACATTTTAATTTAAATAAATTAATTAGTGACTCTTTCGTCTGTTAATAGAAAATGAATAACAAATGTTTTTTATTCATACCGTGCGATCGCCTAACCCATCTTGGTTAATTCTAAGCCTCTGGTCGACTCATGACATGTGGCACTATCGAGAAGAGGAGAGCGTCGGGTCAGGACATGACATGGAGGAAAGAGTCGAAGCCTCGCGTACTCTGTTGGGATGAGACAAGACCTAAAGAGAGAAAAGGGAGGAGAACGAGGTCTGCAGTGCTCGCATGAACTTCCTTCGGTCAAACAGCGACCTAATGAGGGACTCGAGCTCACGCAGTTGAGTAGAGGTCGAAGGCAAGAAGAACAGAGAGGACCTTTGTGCGTGAGGCAGGACAGCCAACCGAGAGAATTAAAAGGTGAGTTAAGGTTAATAAAGTATATGTATGTATGTATCTTTGTGTGTGTGTGTTAAAATGTGTGAGGGTGTTTAATAATAATAATAATGAAAAGTTTTATTAAAATTAAGACTAACAAATAGTGATTTCATATTCGAAGGAGAAGTTGGAGGAGCGTGCGAGTTAGGGAAAGGATCGATCCGAATAACTTATAAGGAAAATATTAATGTTGTATTGTTATTATAACAAATAATATAATTATTTAAATTAATGTTATTAATTTTTATGTAATCAAAAGGTATAGAAGGCTGATAAATTCTTAGATTTTGAGGAAGGCAAAGAATCTTAAGGCCAACCAAAAGTTAGTGTTTTTAATCATTCTTACATATTTCAATAAGTCAACAACATTTATGTTTTTCTATTAGAATGAAGGTCTTACAATTATATGCACATTTAATTGGTTTACGTGCTAGAAAGTGAAGTGAAAGGCTGAACTTTCTCAGAATTCTTTTATGCATTAAATTAATATTATTTAAAATGAATAATTGTTTTACTAAATAGTTTAAAACATGTATTTTCATTCACATATTGCATTTTAATAGTCTGAAATGGTAATACAAATGGGAAAAAATAATGGACATATAAAGATGCATTATAAATTATTTAAATTTTATAAAATGAATTGTAAAGATTTAAGTCATACAGAATTACCGCCATATAGTACTGACAAGGGATGCTTGTACCTTCGAATGCAATTTGAGGCTACCTTTGCGTACAGTTTTAAGAGTGTCTTCGGACACATTTTTTAAGATGTTTTTGGGTATGATGGAAATCTTGTGAGGACTCTTTAAAGAGGCTAAATTGGCAAATACTTAAAATGAAATGGAAATGTATAAAATTAATGTGAAAGTTCCAAATTTTATAAGAAAATGAGCTGTAATTTTTTATCATTCATGCATAGCATAAGCTTCGTAATTTAATATATATTAGACTATAATTACTCAATAAGTCATACTTATAGTTGCAATTAATATTTTCTTTTAGGAGGAGATAAATTTTTAATTGATATGTCGGATAAGAAAGGGATGAGATAAATTTTTAATTGATATGTCGGATAAGAAAGATTTGATTTACAAAAGAATGACTGCAACTGATAGGTACTAAGATAATATGTTTGTAATTTCTTTTTTTACTGCTTCTTTTGGATAGAAATATATTGTTATGAGGATTGAGATTTTACTTGCAGATTTTTTATTACTATTGGATAATTTAATTTTTCTTATTGTATCAATGAATTATTAGATGATTTTTATATATATTGGAACCTCTATAAATGTGGATAGTTAATTAGATATTAATACATTCCGACCGCAGTACCCACCTTAGTTAATTCAAAGCAACGGATCAAGTCGTGACATAATGTTTCCAATCCCTAACTATTTGTTGAAAAGGCTTTTGATCATATAAAAAACTCTAGCTTGAATCATAACCCTTTACCATCGTTTCATCTAAAATATTCATCAAACCACATCCACCAAGCACAATAGGATTCTTAAGAGAGCTTTTACATCAAAACTTTATTTAATCTTCATCACTAATAACTCTTAACATATTTGAGAGTCATCCGAGCCTTCAGAAGTCACTAAGCATATTTGATTAAAACACCACATCTTAGTTCTTCAATATAAAAATTCTTTAAACCATTAAATTTCATAATCTCAAAGTTCATGATGTTTGTAATCGATAAAACTCATGAAAAATGCCTATTTTTTCAAGGAAACGATAATTAACCGTGAATTTGAAGAATGCACAAAATAACATCCAAAGATCAAGCATTATACAAAGACGCCATGAGTAACATGACTCAACTAAAAGAATCCCATGTTACTAGGAGAAGAGAAAAGATAAGACCCAAAAAAGAGAAACCACGTTAATGTAAAAATTAAAGGAGGCGTGAAAAAACTTCTTACCAAAACCCAAGTACACCTAATCTCAAGAGATAAAAGAAGCCTAGAATCTCTCAAAAAAAATAAAATAATACAAGTGAAAATAATGAAGAAAACCAAGACCACACATTAAGATCATCCAAAAGGCTCCTCAAATAACACCATAAAATCCATGCAAGTTCAAAGAAAATCTCAGCCTCAAACTTGTGTCCCACATTAAAATCAATTGTATGCAACACTTCAATTTGCATCCAATAACTAAAGTCCGCACCTTAATCAATTTAAAATGCTGGTCTTTAAGTAATACATGTGACCTACTAGTCTACTCAGCAAAATATGATTGAATCCAAACGAAATGAATGACCAAATCAAAGAAAGCCTCCTCCATGTTGTTCACTGTTAGAAACCATTTTAAGTTAAGATGGGCTAAAAGTCAACAAAGCCCACTTCCCCTATTTAATTCGATTAAATGTACACCCTCGACTTGAATAATTAAAATGGGGAAGCAATTTGTTTTGCTTCAAAGCAATCCTATTCGGCATTAACTTAGGATAATTTATGGGTTCACCGCATTAATTTGAGACGATTCTCAATAAAAATAATGGATGGGAGGTAAAAAAGATGATTGCTGACTTCAATAATTAAAAAAAAAAGGATGAGAGAATTACGTAAATAAATTTGCAACTAGCAGCTTATATCATTCCTGCTCTTCCAACAGTCAAGGATGAATAGGGATACAATGGCCTAGACTTTTAGGGAGAGGAACCTTTAGATCAAATCAAGTCAGAGGCAGTACAATTCCAAGTTAAATGAGGTGCAAGTGCTTCCCTGTTTGAAGGTCAGTTTAAACGAAGGCAGACCCTAAATCAAAATAGATAAATACACAAATACTTTTTTGTCAATATCCAAAAATCGAATCCCGCCGAAATCAACTTTGTGCTTCCGCAAACTTTAAAAGGGCCGTTCAACCAATGCTCAAATAAAAGTAGAAACTTGTAGAAGAAGCAGAGCGACTGAAAGAGACCAACAGACTAGCAGATCGTACAAACATCTACATTTCATGCATCCTGATTATAAATATAAAGCATGGTGACGAAAAAAATGAAAAAAAGGAGAAGTATGCAAAGTGCCAAAAAAAAAAGACGAAGAAGCCCACCTCTGAAAATCCTAATCCTTTGTCGATACTGTATCTTACCAACCTCGAGCAACCTAGAAACGTCATCACCACAAGAAGCCACCGATTTAAACTGCTCCGTGATATCTTTCACAGCTTCTACAACATCCTTAGTTCTGTGAACCGATAATACAGCATCCCTGCCCCGCCCGCAGTCTTCCGTGATTACAGCGTTCGCGGCCTCCTCAAAACGTAGCCTTTCGTTTCTGGCGTGTTTCTCCTCGATGTCTACACTGTTCTTCAGATTGCCTCCAACAAGCCTTATCTGGTTCTCCTTCTGCTCCTCTGACATAACCGCACTACTATTCTCATCCACATGAGGCGCAGCCACTGCCTCAGAACTTCCGACGCTCGAGTTAAACCTATCCGAATCATCATCCACGGCTCTCTTCTCTTGCAAAATCGACCGTTTCCCTGCCTCTTTCACATATTCCTGTTCGGTTTCTTCTTCGAGATCAGGTATCCCTTCCTGCTCCCTCACCTCACTCGAATTAGGACTGCTCACAACCGAACCCAACACAATTTTTGACTTCTCATACACATCAAACAGATGTTCATACGAATCAAAAGGATTAAAGAAATCCCAAGAGAACCTCAGAGATGGAGGGGACGGCGGCGGTGGAGGCGGTTGTACCTCAGATGGAGGAACAACCGGAGCTTCATTCCGTAGATTAATTCCGCTCAGATGGAGGAACAACCGGAGCTTCATTCCGTAGATTAATTCCGGGCGGTTCATAAAAATAACTCCCATGCTGAACAAAGGATGGGTATCCGTAGCCAGAGCCATAGTCAAAGCCAAAACTCTGGCTCTGCGAATTAGACCACTGTTCGCCGTGCAAATCCTGGTACACGGTGGATGGGATCGTCGGAGCGGCCTTCATATATGAATAGTTAGCATTGGGGAAAGAGGAGAAAGTAACGGGATGGGGAAACGAGCTCCATCCTTCGCCCCCTGCTCCGCTATTCCCTCTTTCAAAACTTTCTTCCGATGCCGAGCCGGAAGGCTCATGCAGGTGCTGACATTCCTCGTCCAAATGCGATCCGGAGAACGGAGAGACTGAAGAAGAAGAGGAAGAGGGAAGAGAAGAGGCCACCGCGTCGGAGGCATTTTCTCCCTTCAGAGTTCTTGATCCACCAAACTTAGACCTCGCAGGCTTGCCTTCGGAGGGAGGGAGGGTGAGAACAGGGGATGCCGGGGCCAGAACGAGCTCCTCAGCAGCGAACCTATGCAGGGCTTCTCCAACGCGGTCAAGAGCTCGGAAGTAGGACGCGTGAGCAGCTGCCAGAACATAGCGGTGGTCAGCGGCAGCACGGATCAACTCTCTCCTCTCCCGGCATAGTGCCACAAGCGGCAGATCGTCAGCCTTCGAGCTCGTGCAACCCATCGAAACTTCTAAGCCCTAAAACCCTAGTCCTGCCAGAAGCTCACTATGTTCCGCACCGCCCATCAGCTCAATCTACTTCATCCAGCACAAACAACGGGATCAACTACGATAATGTGGGAGGTTTAAGACCAGCAGAAGTGGAAGCCGAAGGGAACCGGGATGAACGGGGTAAACGGAAGCAACCGGTGGAGGCGAAGAGCGCGCGAAGCTGAAGAGAGAGCAGAGCAAGGAAAACACGTGGCGCGATGCCGACGAGATCCTCGAGCGTTGCGTTGTGGCACGTGATCGTGCCGCGCAGAGGGAATAGTAAAGAGTACCAACGTTCGCATAAAAAGATACCGGACGGAACTTTTCAGCTCTTAGAGTGGGTTTTGTTAGAGGACCGTGCGCCGTCGCGTGGAGGTGCGAGCTGTCAGTGGGATGCGGTTACCGTTTTTAGAAACCCTGTAACAGTATGCTTCGAAATGGAGAAAACATTTTTTTTGAACGTATATTTTAATATATTTTGTATTGGAATGAAATTAATTTAATTATAAATATTTTTATTTTATTCATTAAATATTATTTTAATTTACTTATTTTTTTTTATAAAACATTATAGTTTAAGTTTATAATTAATTATTTTAAATTAATAACATAAACTATTAAATCATTTTTCTCATAATTTAATTATATTATTAAATGTTTTAATTATTTTTGCTTTTTAATTTATTTAATTTTTTTCTAATAATTTTCTTATATAAAAAATATGTCATGTATAAAATTAATAACACATATAATTAATTGATCACGTGTTGATTTAGTATTGATCAAATTATATTTTCTTTGTTTATGTAAAAATATTGTATGATACTTGAGTTTAATAAAAATTAGTTGATAATTTGTCTTGATGACGTGAATTTAATTTTTTTTCTCATGTATTATGCTACATTATATTAAAACTATTAGGTGATATAACTTAACTATTAAATAAATAGACTGAATTATTAGATAATAAAATTAATCTATAAGAAATTCAAATAAATATTTTTATTATATTTGTAAATTTCTAATAATTTAATTCTATTATTGAATAAATTAGTTGAATTTATATAATAGTTTAATTATATTAATTAATAGTTTAGTTTTACTTAGGAATTAGCATGTGACAAGTAAAATTAAGTCCAAATCATATAAAAATGTGCATGAATCTTTCTTAAAGGAACATTTTCAACCTTCAAATATCTCAAAGCTCAACACAGTGCTTTCCAACACATCCTGAAAATTTTAATTTGATGTTCTTTTGTATATTTAGATAATAATGCATTAATCAACCCTTTCAGTGCATGCATGCAGTTTTGGATTATGAGAAGAAAATTTTGGCAAGAAAATCCTTGGTTCAAACTTAGTGCAACAAGATTTGAACTTCGTTTTCAAACTTATGATATAACAATTAGATATAAAACTAGGTTGGAATTATGCTTGAAATAGAGGTTTGAAAAAAATAGAAATTTGAACATTTAATACCATTTTTAAATATTATTTAGCTTTTATTTGAACCTTACTAAAATTTGTAATGGTACATTTGCTTAGAAATAGAATCATATGCAATCTCATTCAAATCGTGTCCAAACCTCGTTTGAATTTGTTTAGAGTATGTTTGAACCTTGTTTAATTTTTGTTTAAATGGAGTTGGAGCATCTATTCAAATAAAATTTGAATGAGATTTGACATTTCTATATGGTTATATTATTATGTGAAATTGATTCATTTAAACTTTTTTTATTATATATGCATACATCCTTACTAATTATTTCAATGGAGAGCATCATATTGGCAAGTGCATAAAAAAATCTAGGAGTTTGATGAGGAAATTTACTATAAAGTTTGAAGTTACAAGCTTATTTATGAGATTGACCAATGCTCCTTCAAGGAACTTTTAAGCCCTAACTTATGATTCTTTGATAATTTAAAAAATCAAATTTTAATGAAAAAACTAATAATAAAAGGAATGATAGATGCTTCATTATGTTTAGCATTAAAGATGAGAATAGTAGATTCAAAATTAGAGATTTTGCCTAATATATATGAGGGTTGGATTTTGGTAGAATGTCTAAGAAGAAAAGGTTTAAGGAGGTGACCATAAGTAGATTAATTAATAACCATCCAGATGGTGACAACAAATTTAAGAATATAGAAATAAAGAATGAATTTATATAGTGTTTTAAAAAGGAAGATATATAAAAAATAGGTTTATTTTATTGTTGATGTTATTCTACTCTAGCATGAGAAGCACAATTTTTTTTTTCCATTAACAAGCTATCATTAGTTGAGTAAGAAGCTTTATTTGGATGCCCATTGAGAAATTTAGTAAAGAAAAAGACATAATGTTTCAATAAAAACTTTAGTTAATTATTAAGTTAATATATTGTTCATGATTTAATAACCATATGCAAATTTTTATAATTATTTAATAAATTTTTAAATTTGTTATTTTGTTAACCAAATATTAATGCAATTCAAAAATATAATACAAGAATTACTCAAGCACAACAATATTAAAAATTGAAAAATTTAGTGCAGTGTCGTGATAATATAAATACAGTGCCTCGATAATGGGATGTTAATAATACAACATATATAACTTTAGAACGCTATTCATAGCAGTGTTGTGACACTAGAACTAAATTTGGCAATGCCAAAACATATAAAATACACTACAAAGAACTATATAATAGCTATAAATACACTCCCCTCAAACTCATTTCCTTAATAGATTTCAACAAAACTCTAAAAAAAAGCCAACAAATGGACACAAGAGAAGAACTTCTCATCCACTCTTCCTCTTCCTCTTCCTCATATGATCCTTTTTCTTTTTCTTCTTCTTTTGCTCCTTTTTTAGCAGTGGGGTGGCTAAGCCCAGTATAATGTTGAAAATGTTGTGTTGTGGAAAAAAAATGCTTTATCAGAAATCACGTTCAACTGACATTTCTAGAACATATGAGCTAGAACTAAGTTGAAATCAACCATATATGAGTATTGTTGTTAACAATGTATTGTGTAGTAAACATCTACCCCATCTCATTCTACCAATTAAACCTTTTGTTTTCTCTATTTTGTAGGTCATAAATCTGCTCTCTCAAATCAATCATTTGATCATTAACTATCTTTGGGGCTTTAGATCTAAAACAAGAAGTGATGAAACACTTCCCATGATCAAATGCAGATCTTTTATAAGATAAATTTTCTCCAAGTATGCGGAGAATTAGAAAATAATTACTTCAAAGAGGGATCTTTTAGTGCCCTCACTTAGACACATACCCTTCTAAATGTTATAATCAACATAGCTTAGTCAATAGTGACCTCATTAATCTTTCTGTTAAGCAACAACATATAGAATTTTAGAGTGGTGTTCATAGCAGTGTTGCGACACTAGAACTAAATCTGACAATGTCAAAACATATAAAATACACTACAAAGAACAATATACCAACTATAAATACACTCCCCTCAAACTCATTTTCTTAATAGATTTCAAACAAAACTATAAGAAAAGTCAACAAATGGAGACAAGAGAAGAACTTCTCATCCACTCTTCCTCTTCCTCATATGTTCCTTCTTCTTCTTCTTCTTCTTCTGCTGTTGCTCCTTTTTTAGCAGTGGTGTGGCTAAGCCCAGTATAATGTTTAAAACGTTGTGTCTTAGAAAAAATACTTTATCAGAAATCACTTTCAACTGACGTTTCTGGAACATATGGGCTAGAACTAAGTTGAAATCAACCATATATGAATATTCTTGTTACTAATATATCATGTGGTAAACATTTATCTTTCTATTAAGCAACAACATATATAATTTTAGAGTGGTGTTCATAGCAGTGTTGCGACACTATAACTAAATTTGACAATGTCAAAACATATAAGATACACTACAAAGAACAATATACCAACTATAAATACACTTCTATCAAACTCATTTTCTTAATAGATTTCAAACAAAACTATAAGAAAAGTCAACAAATGGAGACAAGAGAAGAACTTCTCATCCACTCTTCCTCTTCCTCATATGTTCCTTCTTCTTCTTCTTCTTCTTCTACTGTTGCTCCTTTTTTAGCAATGGTGTGGCTAAGCCCAGTATAATGTTTAAAATGTTGTGTCGTAGAAAAAAATACTTTATCAGAATCACTTTCAACTGACGTTTTTGGAACATATTACTAATGTATCATGTGGTAAACATCTATCCCATCTCATTCTACCACTTAAATTTTTCATTTGCTCTATTTTGTAGGCCATAAATCTGCTCTCTCAAATCAACCATTTGATCATCGACTATCCTTGGGGCTTTAGGTCTAAAACAAGAAGGTGTAATGAAACACTTCCCATGATCAAATGTGGTCCTTTATAAGATAAATTTTGTCCTAATCAACGGAGAAGTAGAAAATAATTACTTAAAAGTGGGATCTTTTAGTGCCCTCCCTTAGACACATACCCTTCTAAATGGCATAATTCAACATAGCTTAGTCTTTAGCGACCTCATTGATCTTTCTATTAAGCAACAACTTCATAAAAATAAAGTAATACCAAGTCTTGGCTTCAATATTCATACATGAGACAAGAAATTTAATTGACTTCTCCTAACTCCTCCTCCATCGTACATTTGACTCGAGCCTAGTCAAAAATCAAGAATCTTGCCAAAGTTAGGGTGTCCATTCTAAAATGTATTATAATCATCAAACTCTAAACTCTATAACCTTTAGGTTAGGTTTATAGTGACACTATGAAATTATACCCAATTCTCGCTCACATAAACTTTAAATTATTTTTGCTCCGCAACATTTGTAAAAAAAAATATCCTTTCATAATCAACACATGATAGTATGGGGTTCATCAGTCAGTTTTTGCCTCTCATGCAATCATACTTTCTACTATATCCACATAACTCCTAAATTTTATTTTAAGAATGTGATTTTTATGTTCCATCAACTGGGTATATCTTTTATTAGATTCTACATTTATGAACTTTTTAAAATCAAAATTCCCACCCTTCCTTCTTGTTAGCAAGCATAGACATTTTTTCCTAATAGATTAGAAAAAAACTAAATTTAGTTGGTTTCTTAGCCCAAAAAGAAATTGACAACCAAAATCAAAATGAATAAGTCATAGGTCTCTATTTATAATATGAAGTAGCACTATAGTGCTAGAGACTAGCGTTGCAGCACTACTCTCTCGAGCATACCAAAACTATGATACTTTGACTTGATTTTCAAAAGGTAAAAATAGAGTCAAAATTAATAATAAATTTTCTTATTAATTCTTCATTAATTTCTATAATAAAAGCATATTAACTCATTATTAATTTTGATGAAGGGTCGCGACGCTAACTTACATCAATGTGGCGCAATTGAATCATTATTTTAAAACTAGCACAAGTTGACCACAAGTTTATTTATCAAACTAGTGTTATGATATTAGTCAAATACAGTACTACGATGCACCAATAATAAGATCAAAGGTAAAAAAAATGCCCAAAATACCGAATAAGCATGTTACAGGATCACAAAGTAGTGATGCTCGCTATGCAATAAATATTATGACACCATGCATTGAAATTATTATCACACATATGAATGAAGCACTTAATTTTGCGAGATAATACTCACACTCAGCACTACATCACTAAATAATTAGCACATGTGACCCATACTACAATGCAAAATATAATTGGTTTTTTCATACACAAATGAAAAATGCCATGAGCCACACATTACATGGATTTCCATAAACATAAAGCAATTTAACGTAGACTGATCAAGAATTTAACCAAGTAAAGAGGAATGGTGGGTTGGAAGTTATTTTCGGCCAAGGCAAGGAGGAGAAAAGGGTGAGCTAAGGTTAAAGTCTCGACCATGGGAAATGAAGGAGTGAGACAGAAGTTGGTGTAGGTATTTTTGGCCTCAGAGAGAAGAATGGAAAGAGGGCGGTGCATGTTGGTGAGGGTTTCGACATAGAAAAGTGAATATGTGTGGAGATGTGTTCGCTGAGGGTTTCAACCTAAGGAAGGAAGGGTGAGTGGGGGTGCATGTTGGTGAGGGCTTTGGCCCAGGGAAGTGAGAAAATTTGATAGGGGCTTCCCCATGAAGAAAGAGAGGGTGAGAGAGGAAGATGGTTGTTGGTTTTTGGCCATGAGAATGGGAGAGAGATTATGGTGTGCATTTTAGTGTGGATCTCAGCGAAGGGATACAAAGGTGTGGGATGGTGTTCGTGTCAGTCTCGGCTAAAAGAGACGAGGTTGGGTGTGCATGTGGGTGTGTGAATATTTCAACCATGGGGAGAAGAAAGGAAAGAGTAGTCGAGGAAGGTGGGATTTCAACCATGGAAAAAAAGAGGGAGAGAAGAGGATATGGGTGTAGGGTTTAAGCCCAAGGAAGTGGGGGTGTATGTTAGTGGGGGTTTCAATCTTGGGAGAATTAAGGGGATACATTGAAATTGGTGTGACGCTTTGGTTAAGGGAGAATCAAGGGAAAGAACGGGTGTACAGTTTTGACTAGCGAAAAAAGAGGGAGAGAAATCAGCGGTAATAAATAACGTTTAATGGAAAAGAAAGGAGAAGAATAAATTTTCATGGTACAATAAGTATAAGAAAAACAAAACACAAAAGAAAAAAAATATAAAATAAGAGAAAATAAGTGAAGAGATCTCAATGTGCTTGTATGGATGAAGAGATGAAATGGTCCTTTATTCTTAGTTGCTTGGATGAAGGGAGGAGACTTTCTTAGAGATTTGGCCATTAGGAAGAAAGAAGAAGGAGAGGTGAGGAGTTTCAAACAAAATGTGAAGGAAGAAGGAAATGTGGGAGAAATTCTAGAGAGTGTCTTTAAATAATAGAGACTTGAAATTTAAAAAAAAATGTGAAGGAAGAGGGGTTTTGTCGGATAGGAGAGAGTGAAGAGAGAAAATAATAAATAGGATTTTAGGGCTAAAAACACAACATTAACTCATTTAGAAGATAAAAATGTATGGAATGCAATAGTGAAGTCAGTTTTGATTAAGGCGGACTCTATTTCAAGATAAGTAAATTCAAAGTTAAAGGTTGTTATGTGTGGTAATTGGAAAAAAAATTGACTATGGTTCATATGACACATAAACCTGAGGAGAACATAATGGTGAAGTTGGTTTTTGGTCAAGGTGAGGGTTGTTATGTGTGGTAATTGGAAAAAAATTTGACTATGGTTCATATGACACATAAACCTGAGGATAACATAATGGTGAAGTTGGTTTTTGGTCAAGGTGAGCCTTATTTGAGGATTTTTAAAGTTAAAGTGTGTGTATTATCATAGGAGAGACAATTTTGATCTATTTTAGATGAATTTTTTTAATAGGTTTTGATTAATTACATTTAATATTCTTAGCTCAAATTACTTTAACAGAAGCTTAGTTCCAATTTAAGTCAACTTTAAGTGAATTACCATGATTATTCTTTTTATTTTCAAAACTTCCATCCAAATTGTTGTAGTATTGATGAAACCCCCAAATGAAGTTCGAATTGAGTTCAAGGGGCTCATTTGAAAGATTTTGATAACATGGATGTACTCAAGTAATCCATTTTGATGATGACATGAAAAAATTTAGATAGGTGTAATTTTCATGTGTGAAAATTCAAAACAAGAGTTTTACATAAGAAGTGTGTTTGATTGTCATCAAATCTATTGCATGTTGCTCATATGTTTTAATGAACATCATGCAACTTTCAAAATTTAAATGCTACAACTTTATTTAGACAAAATAATAACTTTTGGGGACTTTTTGAATTAAGTTGATTTATAATTCAATTTTAAGATTTGGTTAAAGTTAGTTTCATTTTATTCCATCTTAGTTTGATTAATTTTAAATTTTGTTTAGTTAAATCTTTTAGTATTTAGTTGAAGTTAGTTACATTTCATTTCATTATTAAGCATTGTTCGAATTTTGGGTATGGGGAGCATTTTGGAGGTAAAGTAAGAAGCATGGCTCCCCTCATTTATGATATTAATCTGAAAGCTAAGAATTCAAATGATAAGCCAAGCCCCTTACCCTCTTTCATTTAATACTAATCTTCTATAATATATGTAAAAAATATTGTATATCATGTTTGTTGAATATTGCGATATATATTATCAAATATTATTGAGATATTGTGGACATTTCGTTTTAATATGGTGCAATTAATCATAGAACTATTAAATTAGCTATAGACCAAAGCACTTAAGTGAATCAATTCTATGTTGAGTTGAGAATTATTTGAATGGGGTTTGAACCATGAAGTTTTGACAAATTCAAACTAATTCTATGAGAATTAACAAATGAAAACCTCATGCAATAGGTATGTTTAAAGAACTTGGATTTTTTAGAGTTAAATATAAATAAAAGACTACAATAATCACAAATATTATAGACAAAAATTGAATCAATCACTAATATGCATTGCTCTAATAATTAATATAGAACTTAATTATACTGCTATAAGAATTAATTATATTTAACTATATTACTTCAAAAATTAAATTAAATAAAACCAATTTTAACATTACACGCAATATAGTTACTTGAGAGAACATTGCAAACTCAAAGTTCAACCTCTAACATCAAATTTAATTACATCAAATAACATAATGACTAACACAAAATATTAGTTGAAGTCCAAATGAGGTCATCTATAACCCTTCTAATAAATAAAAGATTAATTATATCATTTTATTTATTATTTTGGCTAAAATGAATTCATTATCCATTATAGCCGAGATAGTCTTCATTTATAATTGGAAAGGGATTGAAAGGGAACTTTAGTTTAAAAAATCAACAAGTTTGAAGCCCAATATTTAGTGTTCAAACTTTAGTTGTATAAATTTTGAACATCAATTCTGAACTTAAAATTTTAGCACTAGCCGTGAAAGTCGGATTTAAGAAAGATTGAATAATGTATGAAGTCTTACTACAAATTTCATACATTGTTTGAGCCTTGTTCGCATACTACACCTATAAGAAAGCTCAAGAGACCTAGAATATGACTCAAATCTCATATTACTTCTTCGAACTACATTTGACTATCAATAAAATGAGATTTTGAATGTTTGAACCTTGTTTAAATCTTATTTGTACAAACCTCTATACTCTTTTAAATTGCAGCATATATAAATATAATCATGTAAATGGGTTGAAAAAATCATAGTAAATTGATGCAATTTCAACAAGAGAGATATTTAAGGACAAAAAACTAATAAAAGAAACTAATAAAATAAGTAGTCATCGTCACCAGTGCAAGTGGAGTCTTGGCGCAGTGTTGAGCAGCGATATACTAGTGATCATAAAAATAAGTAGTCATCGTCACTAGTGCAAGTGGAGTCTTGGCGCAGTGTTGAGCAGCGAAGGAGATTGCAAGATTGTCCACTCCGAAAAAAATACTATAGCAAGAGCGATACAGATAAAAGCAGAAAATCTCAAAACCAAGAGTATGGCCGAGACGAAGGGATTCGATCGGTTTGAGCCCATATTTGGGGAGCCAACGGTGGAGCTGGAGCAGGGAGAGGTCTTCGGAGGTGTATATCGCCGCACCTTTCTATTTTATGCCCACCCTTTAGATTCTTCTCAGCTAGAGATCGTGGTCTCTGACTTCCATTCCAACACCTTCTTGCGCGTCCTCACCGTTATGGACATCGACGACCTTGTAATTGTTCTATCGTTCTCCTATATTGGTGCAATTTGAAGTCTGTGTGTGGAATTAGAGAAGTTTTAGATTTGATCCCTGTTGTTTGCTGCTACAGTTTTATTATTCTTCTTGTATTATGCTGGTTTCTTGGTCTGAAAATCTGATGAAGTACCTTCGTACAAGTGAGAATTTTAAATTTAGGGTTGATTTATGTGTGTTTTTTTTTCTGGCAAGCCTGAATTTTGTTGCCTTCTTATATTCTTTGAATTGGAAAACCAGGTTGATATCATTTCAAATGGGCTGCCTGATTCGCGTCCGTTGATGTTTCAGGTGTCGGAAGCTTGGTTAAAGTATTCTATTGGCTCGTGGCCAAGCCCTAAAGAAAACTTTTGTTGTCTGCCCTCTGATATATGCATGAACAGAGCCTGTGCGCAGATGAATTTTGTGCTGATGAATTGATCTGGGAGGCTCTCAGTACTGTAATTTAGGCCAGTTGAGATTGAATGCTTTAATTTAGTCATATCAAATCATGGTGATGGGCTCCATATAAGCTTAAAATAAGCAAGGAAATCTATGGTCTAAATATGAGACTTCAATTCATTCTAATGTATTCAAAATGAGAAGGTTAAGAATGATTTTAATCCAAAGTAGTATGGTGCTCTAAAATCAGAGCTTATTTTAGATTTTGAATGAGTCGAACTAGCTCCACATTTCAATACAAGTAGGATTTGTCTCTACCATTCAACGAAGTTTTGAATATTCCAAAACCAACTACACAAATCAGCACATATATGAGGATTTGGCCACAAGATAGAGAGAGAAGAATGTTTTAACCAACTCTAAAAAATATCAAATAGTCTGCCAATTTGAATTCCATAAACTTATCCGATACCCGAGGAGAAACCCAATCCACAAACAAAATGTGAATAATAATATTGTTGCTGGAAAGATTACAACAGGACCAATCAAATAGAATTAAATGACTCATAAACTCAAAAGACACCCTAGGGTGAAGACGAGAGGTGGTGGTGCTGGCATAACAATAGTGCGAGGGCTGGCGTGGCACTTACGATAGAAAACATGGGTAGTTGGGGAGGTTTGGGGCTGTTCGGGGTGGGGGATTCTGGTAGGTATAGGTATTGTGGAGGATTGACAATAGTGGTAGTGTGGTGGGTAGGAGGATTATTGGATTGGTGGCGTATAGGAGATGGCTAATGGGAGGGGCTGGTAGGGGAAAGTGAGCTGTAGGTTGGCTAGGGAACCGATCTGGACGACAGGCGTGATGGAGGAAGATAGGGGTGATGTGGAGGTGGGTAGAGCGACTGCAGGGAAGCACTGGATGGGTGCGTTGCTAGTAGTGCTGATGGGATGGGGGAGTTACAGAAAGGGAGGTAATTGGGGTTGGGACTGTGGCTGAGAGGGAATAATTTGTTTCAAGATAGGGTTGGGAGGAAAGATAATAGTGAGGAGATGACTGGGAGGATGGTGATTGAGGGGGGGGAGGTAATCACCACCGGGGATAAGTGATACTGTTGGAGCATCGACCTTTTTGTCGGATACCCACGAGGGAAAACAGGACGTCGACGGTTGTCCTCACAAATATGAAATTAGAAATAACATAAAATTGAAACTAAAACAACAAACACACATATAAATAGGAGATAGATAGACGAGGAATGGAAATAGAAAGGGGGGATTTCCTGCATAATGAAAAGAGGAAGGACAGGGTTCGGTTAAGCCCCTTCTCTCAACTGAACCGGTTTAGGCCAAACCGGTTCAGCTTTTGGAGGAAACCCTCGTGTCATTTTGTAGGGGTTGGGGAAGCTTTGACCTCATTTGTCGAAGCTTCTGGATCCTCATGGTATGACGACAAGTCCTCTGGTAGGTTGATCATGTCGGTGCAGTCATTCCATAACACATTCTAGTAGAATAGGTAACCATCATCTTTTTACACATCCTGAGCGGGAGTTCTATGTAGAGGTGAGTTCCCACAATGCAACTCTTGAGCCCGTACATTTGAAATCTCCTCCTTCCATTTCTCGTAACTAGCATGGGTTGGTTGAGTAATAAGTATGTGAGGAGAGCTAAATTCTGGGATGAATCTGTGGTAAGCTGCACCACTCTCACTGACACCCCCTCAGGAGAGACCTCTCCCTCACAGATAGGACCTGAGTTCCATTGTAGAATTTTTTTCCCCATCAAACTCCTTGGCCCTATTACAAAAGCTGGGGTTCATCTCTCCTGTTTGGACATGTAACGAGGGGTACCATATGGAACAAGAAATAACATTTGAATAACTCAACGTGATATTCACGACATAACACAAAATGACTCCACTTCTGGTATACTGGACCTCCCACCGTAGGGGTAACTTAGGAAAGGTCTGTACATTGAAATATCTACAATCCTCTTTCTGTGGTGGTCCTGTATTTGTGGTTGACTCCTCAAACTCATGCCCCTTTTGAACCGCCAAGGTCAGTCCTATTGTTGTTCCTCTCAATGCCTATGAAACAATATCTCGAGGTACCATAGTTTCAGACTCTGCTTGAACACTCATTACATTGAGGTCACTACCTTCCAGAATCGCTACTGTTACCTCAAATGGATCTTTATCTCGAGGTCAATTGGAATTGGCGGTATCTCTTCTTCGCGAGCTGCAATTGGAGAATCCTTTTGGAAGACTTCGTCTTCTTTCTGGTCACCGTTCATTTTTTCAACTAAAAGCTGGTACTCTTTGTTTATGTCCTTATCGTCTTTAGTTTCTGCTCGATGACGCCGCTTCGGTGAAGTAGATCACTCTCCTGGTTGTGCATTCTGCCTCCACATGTTCAAATCCGTGGCACTGGCCACATTTTTCTGACCGTGATAGACTTACGAATTGGTTTCACTAGATAGCAGTCAAGGGGTCGCTTGGTGCTGTGGTCTCTCCACATCGGAAGCTAGAGTCTACAACTTTTTGCCGTAGTAATTTAGTAGGAACTGGCGTTGTGTTTCGCGCTTCATCTTCATATCTTCTTGTCCCCCCCTTTGACCTTTCAGAACACGGTAGCCTCCCATTGGATTTCATTTTCAATGTTCGTAATCCACTGCCAAAGTCGGTGGATCTTTCGCCATATCTCCTCCTGAGTAGGTTCGAGCATGTATCTCATTAGTGGCATGGATAAAGTTTAGAGTTGGGAGGTAAAAGATGGTGCCTGAGACTAATTGAACGTTTATAAAATTTGATTTGGGATTGCTGACTTTGAAAGTCAGCAAAGAGAATTTAGGTTTTGGTTTTGGAATGGGTGGTTCAGGGTAGGAAATAAAATATTTCGGTTGGGGGTAAGGTGGATGCTAGTTATCCCTAAGATAGGATTAGGGCTGTGCTAGCTCTGATACTAAATGGTACCAGAGGAGAAATCCAAATTACAAATAAAAGGCGCATAATAATATTATTGCTGAAAAGATTACAACATGACTTGTCAAACAGAAAATTAATGACCCATAAACTCAAAAGACAACTTAGAGTGAAGACGAGAGCTGGTGGTGCCGACAGAACAACGGTGTGAGGGCTGGCGGGGCACTTACGACAGCAACATGGGTAGTTGGTGAAGTTTGGGACTATCTGGGGTGGGGGATTTTAGCAGGTATAGGGGCTGTGGAGGACTGACAATAGTCGCGGTGTGGTGAGTTACTGGATTGGTGGCGTACAAAAGATGGTCATGGGAAGGGTTTGTAGGGGAAGTTGGGCCGTAGGTTGGCTAGGGAACTGACCTGGATGGCAGCCGTAAGGGATGAAGACAGGGTTGATGTGGAGGTGGGTAGAGCGGCTGCAGGGAACCACTGGATGGGTGTGCTGCTGGCAGTGCTGACGGGATGGGGGAATTATGGGAGGGGAGATAACTGGGGTCGTGACTGTGGCTGAGAGGGAAAAATTTGCTGTCAAGATAGGGCTAGGAGGAAAGATAACAACGATGAGGTGATTGGGAGGATGACGATAGAAGTTGGGGGGTGGGGGGTGGGGAAGGTAATCACCACCAGGGAGAAGGGTTTCCGTTGGAGCTCCAGTATTTCCATCAGATACAACCTATGAGGGAAAACAGGACGCCGACGACTGTCCTCATAAATTTGAAATCAGAAATAACATAAAACTAAAAATCTGGACAACAAAGAATATATAAATAGGAGATAGATAGGTGGAAAATGAAAATAGAAAGGGGGAAATTTCTTGCCTAATGAAAAAAGGAAGAAGGGGGTCGGTTTAGCCCCCCTTTATTAACTGAACCGGTTTGGGCCAATCCAGTTCAGCTTTTGGAGGAAACTCCTTGTGTCATTATCTCTATCTACTTGGCACGTGAGTAAATAAAATAATACTTTCAAGGAATATCTGCTTTGATTTTTATAAATACGAGTTAGGAATCTTTTTTTTATCAAATAACATATCTTGGTTGTTAGGATTTATGCTATCTTTTTTATTTTCAGGCTATATCTGTTTTTTTAATATAATATTTTTGTTTCTTTATTAGGGAATTAGATCAACATAATTATAACCTGTAATTAGATATTGAAATCAGTTGAATACAATACAATTTACTTGTCACTTGCTTTATTTATTTATTTTTTTTCTTTCATCTTGTTTGAATTCACATTGGGCAGCTCTTCTTTTGGTTTCTCAACTCCGTGTGTAATAGGAGATTGAAAGTTCCCAATTTTCTTTCTTCCTTCTTTCTCCGTTTTTTTAAGATTTGGCAAAAATAGAGTAGTCATCAGCCTTGTATCTGTAGCTATAATTAGCTAAATTTAAAGAAGGAAACAACATTTATTGTTGTTGTTTATCCATTTCAATATTGTCAAACAATGAATTTTTTCACTAATTTTTGGTAACAGCTTTGTGGAACATCATAAAACATTAGGTAATGTATAGAGGAAAAATTAGGGGAATAAATAAGAAAACTAATTTTGAGTTTGTGATGATCAATTTCATGGTAGTTTTTATCGTGCATTATTTTATTATCATTTGGGAAAGTTATTGGCTTTTA